CCGATTATGACAGCATCCATGCCCAAGCCATGATAACGTCCGTTTTTTATGGAATCCGATTGCGAGAGCATGCATGCCCAAGCCATCATAACGACCGCTTTCTATTGAATCTCAAATCGTACTGCGGAATTCCGCCTATTTCAGCCAGTTATACCCCTGAAAGCCCTGCTACCCCACAACGGCTCCAGCGCTGGCAAGAATAGCACGTGCACTTGCAGCAACACCAGCTCCTCCCCCGCTTCTGCTGCTACCAAAAGAGCCGGGACTCGAAAGATGAGAAATTTGAGTCCCACGAGTTGCGCGTTTCGGGAGCTTACAAATCCACCAAAACTCGGCAGGCATGGCAAAAACAGCACATTGCGCTCGCGTGCGCTGCGCATATGTCATGTGGGCACGTATTTACACGCGGTTTCAGCGTTTAGGGTCTGCTTAGCTCAGGAAGCCTTTGCTCAAGAGTTGCGCAGTTGTACAATGTGTTGTTCAGTCAGTTTGGAAAGCGAGTCATTCCTTTAAATACCTCCCTGCCCGGATCCAAAAAGAGCACGGGTTCAGGGTTTAGAGTAGACTTTAGGGTTTTGCATTCAGAGGTAGACGAATGGAGAATCAAACGAAAAACACATGGGATCGGGGTTGCATAGGGGTTCTACATTACATGGATCCTCTTTTCATTCACTAGGCGGCCCACCCCCGAAGAATACTGCCAATATGGTACCATTGTAAAAGTAAGGCAGTATTCGTACTGGGGGGCGGTGAGTAGTTGTATTGTAAGTGGTAATTCAGGCCCAGGACTCCAATTATTCGCACTTGTAACCCAACGAAATACTCAACACACACCAGAGGGCTGCGATGAGGTCATCGCTCAGATTTTCAAAATGAGAATGGGCGTCAACCCGGTGACATATTTCAAGCGCAGTCCAGACTTGCCAGTACTGACCGGAAGGGAGGAAGCCAGTCTCTTACGTGTAATTCTTGCAGCAGCGTATGAGATGGTGCTTGCGATGTTTTGCAGCTGCCAACCCTAAACGTTAAACCCCAAACCCTAAACCTTAAACCCAATACCCTAAACTACCCTAAACCTTAAACCTTAAACTCAAAAGCGCTGTGCAGGGCCGGTGGTGCTTCTGACAGCTCGCGGCCCGCGGAGGCATGCTGGGCCTTCTGCGGGGATGAGGACGGAAGATGGGTTCATGGTTGGAGTTCAGAAGTTAGGGTTTAGGGTTTAGGGTTGAGGGTTGGAGTTTAGAACTTTTGGTATATATTGCGGGTTATAGATGGGGAATTTGGAATAACAGAAAACATGCAGACTACTATAGTACATAGGGGATTATACATTCTACTTACTGGTCTTAGTAAGGAATAATGGAATATACCCTGTATGTAATATGATATACTCCCTTACGCCCTGCTAAGAACCAGTAAGTTGAGAGATCTTACCGTTGCACCGCGAGCCCGTGCCCTGCTTATGCTCATAAAAAGCAGAGCAGTCAATGTACATCCCGAAATGGGGTTTAGGGCCAGGGTTTAGGGTTAGGGTTTAGGGTTTAGGGCCATGTTTTTTTTTTCAAAGGG